ACCTTTGTTCCCCAAGTAAGACAGAGTGTCAAAAAAACAGCTAATTGTCAGTCAATTTGATATTTATAAAATGGTAAATAAGGATTTCCTTATAGATGGTTCACATATTTTAATAATTTAGTAAATGTTTATAAATTTATGAATAAAAAATTGTTGTCATATTTATTTCTTCATAAATTGGCAAATGATAAATATTGCATTAGTTCTAATTGTAATTGTAGCATTCTTATAATCTAATAAACAATGTTTAATATTTTTGTTGTAAATTCTCAAGAACAAAAAAAATGTATAAATTCATTTTCAACATATGTTTATGTTTTATTACAATTCTAATCATCCCTTTTTGAAACAATAAACATTGCCAAAGAAGTAGTTAAAATAAAAACAATGTCATAGGAAAAACCATCTTTTGATACCCCATCTTATATTGTAGGCAGGAATACACATGTTTGCTGAATAGTCAATTTGGAACCCCCCATTGGCTGGTGGTTGATTGTTGGTAGATATGTGAGAGAGCCACAAATATTGCCAGGTCAGTTGGTTCATTTGTCATCTAGACAATTTTTTTCTCCAGATTCTATTAATATCTTACATATCTATGTCTACCAATAATTCTACCATTCATCCGTGCTTAGAATATTGTTCCCACATATGGCCCAGTGCTCCTGCTATTTATCTAAATGTTGTAGCAAATCTATGGACGATATTGATTATGTCCCCATTCACATAAATACAGTAATAAATACTGCATGTGGATCTGCAGTTGGAGATTCATCTGCCTCCGGGCAGAGAGTACCCCTAGATGAGGCTATGTCGAAGGACAGAGTCTCATCTAGGGAAACAGCTACTAGACCCTGTTTTATATGGGGTTTACAGGAAACTTTTGGCTGAGCATACGGGCTTGGATATCACACATTAAATTCGGCCTTGTACTACGTCTGACTGTGTCGGGCAGTTGGTAGATATCCTGCAGTTAGAGATTCATTGGGAAATTCACTTGACTCACTTCCCTCGGTTACAACATTAAAGCTCTTTTTTTAAAATCCAAATAAGAATCAGAAATATAATTGGTCCTGAGATGGTGTCTCAGCTTCAGTATCTTTCCCACCATTGTAAAGTTGCCTTCCTGTATTTTTTCTATAAATCCTTTGTTTGGATGAACTCTTCACTGTTTTAAATTGTTGTTTTATTCCCCTCCCCCCACAGACAATGAATTGTACATATGGAGACTAGTTAGGACTTTCATAGAGACAATGTGGTATTATGGTGGATGGAGTAAGAAAGGTAAGTAAGAATGTGTTATTTTGGTGTTAGGAATATTGTGATATGTTTGGGTCAGTGTTTGTGGCTAGCTAAGTTTAATGTTAAGACAGATGAAGACCACCCTTTTCCCCATTCTGGCTTTATGCCACATTTTGCAAATAATTACAAATAAATATCACTCTTTGTTATAATACCTAGGCTTTTTGAAGTTAAGCGCAGTACTGGACTGGTGTCAAGATATCATCAATTGACAGTTGAATTGATTAGATGTAACCATAAGTTTTATGCTAACAGTTTCTTTTCTCAAACTTCTTGCTTGTGGAACTCTCTTCCAGTGCTATGCTTTCTAGCCAACTTTAATTTTCAAAAATTTAAATGCAATGTCAATCGCTATCCCCTGTCCTGATTAATCTCCTCACTCCTTCGTAATCTTACTGTTTTCTAATGCTCCCATACCTAGTAACCCCCTTGTGTCTTAGTGGCTTTACAGCCTTGCTTGGGGTGAACTTGATTAAAAAAAAAAAAAAAAAAAAAAAAAGGTTATTGAGACAGTGAGTAAGAGTTGGTAATAAGAGGAACAGGAGAGAGGTGGTTTAAAGAAAGAGAGAAATAGAGGTAGAGTTTTCACTGGTGCTATAACCTAGGGAAATTTACTGAATAGAATAATTACACAAAGGTTAGTAATGAGCAGTAATACTTAAGACAAGAACAACACATATAAGAGTCTCTAGCTGTGCATAGAAGAAGTAGTCAACTGCGAGAAGTGAGTCAAGTGAATTGCACAATGAATCTCCAACCACCGCATGCGGTCAGATGTGGCATAAAGCCAAATTTAATGTGGGGTATCTGAGCTCGTATGCTTGGCCAAAAATTCCCTGTAGACCCTGTATAAAATGGGATCAGGTAGCTGTTTCCTGAGATGAGACTCTGCCCTTCGATATAGCCTTGTCTGCAAATCCTCTCTGCCTAGAGATTTTGACCAGCACAGTTGGCGACAAATCTCCAACATCAGATCAACATACAGTATTTACTACTGTATTTATGGGAATGGGGACATACCCATTATCGTCCGTAGGTATGCTAGGACAACTGGTTAAAGGGAAGGTCTGGTCTGTTAGTCATGAGAAAAGACAAAAGTAGAAGTGAAGATATCCCAAGTGCCAGCAGCTTCCTCTGGTCATACACGAAGTGAATCTTTGAACAAATAACTAAATATAATGGAAACAGAATTCATATTTTTCATTTATTGCCATGGCAATATTTTCATCTTCTTTCCCAGTTTCTGTTCATATTTGTGCAAACTGGAATTGAAACAATCTGGCAATATCTGTTCAGTCAATGAAAAACTCAACAGAAGCTGTGGATATATGTTTAGACTACAAACAAATTTGTTCTGATAATTTTTAGTGATATTGTCTCTTATTCAGAGAAAAAAGTCTAATGTTTCCTTGTAGTATATGTAAAGATTGTTCATTTGGACATAATCAAGTATTTTAACCATCAGCAGTCATTTTAAGGAACAGAATATATTATCATTTTCAAAAATGATGTAAACTTTGTTAGACTTTTTCTTTTTAGACTTTGATAGTTTTTTTCTTTTTCCCCACTGTAGCATTTATCTGGAATAAAAAATTTTTGAAGAGGAAAAAGTTGCAAGCGGCAAGATCTGGGGAATATGGGGTGGTTGGCAGACTTTAGGAATGTCATGCATGGCCAAAAACTGCTGCACAAGCCATAATCAATGATAGAATCTCTATGAAGTGGTGAGATGACCACACTCTACACACTTTCCTTTCAAGCACTGATATAAACAACAGAAGAGAGCAAGCATGTTACAATTTAGTAAGTATGCTCAACAGAGTTCATGTTTAGTCTATGCCAAGCGACTTCACTGTGTATTTTAGCTCTGTTACCAAAGCAACAGTACTGATACTTTTTGATCAGACCTTATATATAAGACTGATTATATAAATAAAACTCTTATTAGTCTGAACAAGTTTCTTTTTGGACCAAAACAAGACACTATGAATTTTTTTTTTTCCATCTTATCATTTACTTATGCATAATGTTAAAATTAGAAACATTTTGTTGAGGTTTTCATTTGCAGCATTATGCAAAGTGGGCTTGTGTTTTATTAATTTTTTAATATTAATAAATTAGTTCTTTTGTTAAAAGATATTCTAATTTAAATAGTTTTTCTTTTTATGTCTATGGACTCAAGTATTAGCTGTTTCCTTTTTTCTACAGTTATGTTGCATAATATCTTTGTATTGTCTATAAGTATCTACCTTATATTTATCAGAGTAAATTATACAAAGTGCATTCAAAATGTATCTAACCATTGGGCATAAAAAATAATTTTGTACACTTAACAAATTTTATTTAATCACCTTCAAAAACCACTCCTTGGGTGTTCACACACTTCTCCCAGTGGTTCTGCTACTACTGGTAACACTTCTGGAATGCTATGTCGCTCTGCCATTGTTTTTCTCATAGTTTCCTCTTGAAACTCAAATCACTTCTTTTTCAGTATGGTTTTCAGATTGGGGAAGAGCCAGAACTTACACAGTGCAAGTCAGGTGTGTAGAGTGCCTGTCAAACAAGTGCTGTGTTGTTCTTAACAAAGAAAGCTTGTATTACCATGGGTGGAATGAGTGACTGCATTTCATCAACACATTCAAAGGGAATACACTGACCTGTGCTTATTCACTCTTCGTGAGCAATTTCCTTGATTGTTACACAATGATCTTCCATAATAATTTTCCGAACCTGCTCCTTGTTTCAGCTTGTGGATGGCCACCCTGAGTGCACCTTAGTCGCCACTGAGGTTGGGCTATGTTTGAAACAGTTCTACCAAGCCTTGATCCGAGTTTTGTTCATGGCATCAATCCCAATGGCCTGCTGAATCTTCTGGATGCTTTGAGCTTGAGTATCACCAAATCATTGGTAAAACTTGATGTTGTATCTTTGATAATTTTGTCGTCTTGTGTGTAAACAAAAATCCAACACATGTGCACTACACATCTGTATTCTAGGCATAATAGCAAGGAACTGACACAGCCTATTGGTATAAAAGTTTTCACACATGTACAGGAAAGTTGGTGTCACCTCCCACCTGGATGATTTTGATCATGTGGCAAAAATAAAATTGGATACTTTTTGAAGACACCTCATATACATATGTCTAGAAATCCAGAAGTCAAAATGACTACAATTGAAACAAAATAGGAAAAAGAGAGAAGAGGCTAAGAGTGAGTGTTAAGTGAAAAAAAAAAAAAAAAAACCCAAAATGACAAATAACCACAACATTCTACATGTACACACAGATGGGTGCATGCATGCACACACACTCTATGAAAAATATATGAAGAAAACTTGCACCATATAAAAAATAAAGATCCAGAAGTATAATCAGTCAACTGCTGATACTCCTGACAAGTGGACAGAGTGATTCCTGGGGATTTGTTTACAAAACTCTGGAGTCGAGATGCTGAAGGTAACATCAATCAGCTAAGTGACAAACCTTTTCCTCATATTAATTTTATATATATATATATATATATATATATATATATATATGTGTATGTGTGTGTGTGTGTGTGTGAGACTTATGAGGGAATGAGCTTTGATGAGTTCCTCTGTTTATCAAGTGTGTTATCATTTTTCATCATATCATTTCCATTATCCAAATCTGCCACCCAAAGTGAATCTAAAATTTTAAATGCATGAACACATACCCACTATGTATAGAGATAGATAGGACCAGACAAATACACACACAGATCTCAGAGAGAGATAAAGAGAAACACAGCTAAAATTTCAAATGGGAGTTAAAAAATGTTTAGCATCTTTACGAAAGACTCTTTTTTTTTTTTGAGGGCTGCAAATGTAAAAAAAATGTTGCATCCCAGGCTTCACTTTCATGCACATCAAAAAAGGATCATGCTGTCATAAATATAATCTCATTGATTCACAGATAAATACTTCCCCAGAGTGAAAGCATATGTGTGGAAAATTTTAAGATATTGCGGATATCAGAAGTCTAATTTATTCTGAATAGCCAGATTTCTTTATTTACAAATATGGTAATTTTTTTTTTATCTTTTACTGAAGCTCTCCTTCTTGGTAGCTCAACTGCATGAATTTAAGTGTACAACTAGACATCATCATTTTACTATTGAAAATATCTAAATGTAAACGTAAGCTATATTCTAATAGTTGCTTTTCTTGCACATTTTACCTTTAAATCTTCCATTTCATGCATTCCTGCCACCTAGAATCTTCAAAAATTTAATTGCAATGTAAATTACCATCTTGTATCTTCTTGAATTCTGTTCTTTTATTATCCTTTCTTCTCAAGTCTTCTCATTCTCTTCCACTCCCAGTAACCCCTTGCCTTTTAGTGGCATTATCAGCTTGCTTGGGATGAAATGGTTAATATATATATATATATATATATATATAAACTGAATTATTTAAAATATGTTTTTTTCGCTACACAGTTCTAACCATGTAAGCTCTGTAAATTTACATTGAGCACTATTTTGTAAAAATATCTATAAGAACACCGGATTATATATCTTACTGTTCTTTCTTTTTATATATAATCTCACTTTAACATATATATTTACCAAAATTACACAAAAATATCTTGAAATACCAAAGAATAAATTTCTTGAAAAAAAAAAAAAAAGTTGCCATTGGCTTTAACTATGGCCTACAAACAAATTCAGAATCTCCTGCAATTCTTCTGGAGAGTCTCCTTGTTTAAGTTCATCTTTGGTGTTACAAGGAGTTTTGTTGGTCTTGCTCAACTGCGCACCACACATAATAATCAAGGGGGGTTGTAGTCTGGGGATTTAGGTGGTCAGATGTCAGGGATGATGTGGTCATAATAATTGACTGATATCCATGACTGGTTTCTCCTGTTTGTGTCGCATGGTGCAGAGTCAGGTTGCCAGTAGTCACCCTCTTGACCCAGGACAGCACAACATCCTCAAAGTATTTGATGTAGGCATCCATGTTGACACTGAGGCCCTGTGGGAAGATGAATAGAGGCATAATGTTGCCATCTCTAGTGTTCACTCCAAATTCATAATCACCGTTAGACTTATCCATCTCTTTCTGAATGTTTTGCACTTTCCTCAGATTGACACCCACACACTCTGAAATGTTCATGTTGGAGCTTCTATTGTGAATGCCAAGCAGTACAGAATGCCGTTTGCAAATTTCTGTCAGAGTGAATTGTGTCATGGTGCTCTTTTCTTAACAGACGGTGCCCAACTGACCCTACTGTATTGTGCATTTGACAAAAATAAAAAATAAACAACGCACATGCAAAAAATTAAAAATATAAAATGGGAACAACAACTTATCCATCACATATATATATATATATATATATATATATATATATATTAATGCATGTTTCATTAAATAAGAGACAAGTTTTGTCTATTTATTTTAAGTAAGTTCCTTTCATATTGTCGGATAAGCTTAATCACATTATTGTTGAAAGATGAAAGGAAAACACCATATTGATACATGTTTAAATCCAATCTAATATTTTTTTTTTACACAAGCCATTATCAAAGATGACAATTTCAATAAATCAAACAACAACGAACGAAACAACAATGATAGTCCACCCTTGCTGCATGAAAATTTAAAGTAACAACAAACTCGTATATACGAGACATGCAAGCTTAGATTGGATTTCAACATGTATCAATATGGTGTTTTCCTTTCATCTTTCAATGATAATGTTATTAAGTTTATCAGACAATATGAAAAGAACTTACTTAAAATAAAGACAAAACTTGTCTATATCATTTATTGAAACATGCATTAATGAAAAATTGCTGCCTAAATATACACAAAATATATATATGAATATAAAATATCAATCATTGGTGCTAATAAAATAGTGCATGATATCTAATAACAGAGCTATAATTTATATTAATAAATTAACATTCTTTCATCACCAATAGTTCAACTGAGTTTCATGCACAATTCAATTGTCAGGTGCTGATTGTGCATTGCTTTATCATTTCTGTTAATAGGAACAAAGAATGTATTATTTAAAGTTCAATTATCTTAAGAATTTGTTAATTAAAACCTGTGTTAACAATATGAGATATTTAACCAATAAATGAGGAATTACAATTTTTTCAGTTTATTATTTAATTATCTAACCTAGATTTTAAAAAGGGATCATTGTGCATGATGTTTGTGTTGTAGAGTAGTTTCACAGTGGAGGCTTGTATTTCACTAAGTCAATCCTAAAATAGGTTCGACGTACAAAACTTTAGGAACTTGATATAATAGGTAATGATGGAGAGGCAACTTCTACTACTCCTACTTATTATAGGTGGGAGAGTCTATTAACTATAGAATAGGTATGTTCCACTATAACAGTTTGTTACAAAAGAGAAAATTGATTTTCTTTTATTTATTTCAATGTTGATCCCCTGTTGAACATGTACATAACATCTTCATTTTTCTAAGATGGAGGACTCAGATGGTAGGATGGTCAGTTTTTATAGGCCATGAATTCTTGAATTATTTTTCTTTCCTAATAAATGGATGGATAAACAAAGAAAGAAAATCAAGCACACTTTGTTTATCATTTAAATAAAAAAAAGTACCCCAAAATTAGAAAGCAGCTTGTAGAAATAGACTCAGTCTGACATATGTATGATGTAATAAGTAGAGTAGCCATGGGAGACAAACAGAATTAACAATATTCAACCATAGAAAAAGAGTTGCAGTCAAAACAAAAAATGATATACTCTAATCTCAAAGGCAAATATTTTAGGTATGTCTTCAACAACAATAATAAGTTTATTCTATGAATATTTAAATTCCAGCATTAGTTTAAGTGTATAATAAATTAAACACTAGTATATTCTATTTGAACATTTTCTTCTGATTTGTTAGTGAAATAAATAATTTAAGTTTATTTATGGTATAACACATCTATAATTCTCACTACACTATCCAAAATAGTTTTTTTTAAGCAATCATTGATTTATCATTTCTGTTATTCAAAACAAAACAAATGTATCATTTAAAGTTTAATTATCTTAAAATTAATGATCTAAGTAAAATACTAAGAATTTGTTAATTAAAACCTGTGTTAACAATATAAGATATTTAACCAATAGATGAGGCATTACAATTTTTTTCAGTTTAATATTTAATTGTCTAATCTACATTTTAAAAAGGAATCATTGTGCATGTTTGTTACAAAAGAGAAAATTGATTTTCTTTTATTTATTTCAATGTCAATTGTACATGAAAGTGAATCCTCTGTCGAAGATGTACAAAACCATTTTCAAGAAGCTAATTTTTATAGGCCATGAATTCCTCAATTATTATTCTTCCTTAATAATTGGATGGATAAACAAAGAAAGAAAATCAGCCAAACTTTGTTCAACATTTAAATCAAATAAGGAACTCAAAAAATTAGAATGTAATCTGCTGAATTGCTTCACCCTTCCCTATTTAAGTTAATTTATGGTTATATAATATAACTGTCCAAAGTTGATAATGTTTTTAGTTCTAGTACTTTGGACTGTTCCTAATCTTTATGAAGAAAACAAAAGTTCATATATATTGATTGGAGGAGAATAAATTCGCCTCATCAAATTTTTTCTCCTTTTTGAAATCCCAAAGACAGACAAAAGAAATTCAATTGTTTTGACTGTGAATCTAGTTATCCCGTTTTTTTTTTTTATCCATGAATCTAGTTATCCCGTTTTTCGTCTATGAATCTAATTATCCTGTTTTTTTTTTGTCCAGGAATCTAGTTATCCTGTTTTTTGGGGGCCATGAATCTAGTTATCCCGTTTTTTTTTTTTTTGGCCATGAATCTAGTTATCCCGTTTTTTTTTGGGGGCATGAATCTAGTTATCCCGTATTTTTGGGGGCCATGAATCTAGTTATCCTGTTTTTTTTATTTTGCCCATGAATCTAGTTATCCTGTTTTTTTTGTCCATGAATCTAGTTATCCTGTTTTTTTTTTGGCCATGAATCTAGTTATCCTGTTTTTTTTGTTTTTTTTGGCCATGAATCTAGTTATCCTGTTTTTTTTTTGTCTATGAATCTAGTTATCCTGTTTTTTGTCTATGAATCTAGCTATATGTTTTTAAATCAAGTAAAATGATATGCTTTCTGTTTCCATATGTTTGTACTTAGGGTGTGGATTCTTTGATGGATGACAGTGATATGTCCTTTGGAGGAATTTTTGTATTCAACTTGACTGAATAGAATATAGGAGACAAAAACAAAACACGGGCAACCAAAAAAAATATTGTGCAAAAGTTTTCAGCCTCACCTACTTTCTAAAAATCAAGCCTCATTACTAAATGTCAGAATTTTTGGTTGGGTCAGGAGAGAACTTTTCAACTGCACTCCCCACAACACTCATATATATATAAGTTTTGTGTGGGGTGTAGTTGAAAAGTTCTGTTTTTCTGACAGTCACTGTAACATGAAATTCGAGTAGCGCTCTGAACGTTGTCTTGTTTGCTTAGCATTGCTGTGTAGCATGTCTGCTCTGTCTTGCTCATTTATATATGGAGCACTCTCTTTTATTTCTTCGGTAGTTGTCTTGTCTTTTGTTATTTTTCTTGGTTTATATTTCCTTTTGTTTTTTAGTTTTGATTTTCTTTGTCCATATGGACTTTGTGTTAGTTTTACCAATACTTTTGTTTGTTGATTTGTTGCGTATGTGTGTGTATGTGATATATATATATATATATATATATATCCCAAAAGTCTGTGAAATTAATCCACTACGGTATCAAAAAATAATAGATACTAGCTCTGTCATAGTTGCAGTATAAACCACAAGTGGTCTCTGTGGATGTTGAGCAAACACAAATGTGTTTGAGCAGGTGTCTTCAACAGGGATTGACTAGCCACCATAACAAACTGGTGTTCTTAACCAGCCATATATATATATATATATATATATATATATATATATATATCATACTTATTATAAAACCCAGGGCTGTGTGTGTCTGTACGTTTATATATTGGATCGGATTTCATTTTACATTTTTCAACAAAACTTCACAGGACTATGTAAAATTACCTTGCGATGGTTCTGACAGCGCCAATAATTGGAAAAACACAATTGTTTTTGCACAAAATCAATTTGAAAACATGATTAAGAGGCATCGCGAGAATGAAAGGGGGACAACTCATATCAAGTTATACTTATCATAAAACCCAGGTTATTTGTCTGTGTGTTCATTTATATATGGGATCGGATTTCCTACATTTTTCAACCGATTTCAACAAAACTTCACTTTTTTTTTTGGCAGGTAGTGTTTCTTATTGTCTTGCACACTTTTTTTTTTTTTTTTTACAGTCAGAATGCTTTAAAATTCCATTTACAAGACAATTGTTTATAATAAAATTCTATTCAATCGGTAGACTCATAACGATTGAAAACAATGTTTTTGTTTGACCAATTCGTAAAAAAAAAAAAAAATAAAACTAATTAAGACATGCATGTCCGTCAACCTTAAACAATAATCTTTGTCAATTTTATTTTTCAGTTTTGTGTGTATGTATATGTATGTCTGTCTAATGAAAATGACGAGCTGTGATACAGCAAAACAGTCTGTCTGTGGATGAAAATATTTACGCACAAAAAAAAAAAAAAAAAAAAAAACTTAAATTGTGCACTCTTGGTAGATAAGTGTGAATTTGTAAACAATGACTAATACTACTAATATTACAAGCTCTTCCCTGAATTGAGCACTGTCAGTTATTGGCATGTTTATTCACAGAATAAGTACATAAAAATTTGCATTTCTTTCAACTGTGCACCAATGGCTTAGGGGGAAAATCTTTGACTGTTGCCGAATCAGTCGGGTTTTGATCCCAGCTTGAAGCAATTGGATGTCTAGCCACATTGATGAGCTGTGATACAGCAAAACTGTCTGTCTGTGGATGACTATATATGATAAAAGAATTAATCAATACAAAACAATAATCTAAAACTTAAAGGATGAATTTACTCTATTACATGTAATGAGTACCACAAAAAGCACAAAGGTGAAAGCTCAAGGAATTTAAATAAAAGATTATATGAACACAAAAGAGACATTATACATAATATGCTGAATGCATTGGTTGCTCACGGTTATGAGACCGACACAATTTTATTATTAAAAATGCTACTCTGATTAAAAGAGAAAACAATTCACTCAGATGAAAATGTTTCGAGAGTGGCCTGATTGATATATCATCCACAATAAATTTGTGTTCAGGCTCTTACAATGTTTCACCATTCCGTTATCACAATGTGGATGATCCAAGAACAAAATTGACAGAAACAAAAATAAAAAGAAAAAGAATCTTAATGAAATTGGCTACATATATACCCAAACACATATATTAAAAATCAAAAATAATTCAAAGTTGCCATTCCCAGCAGCACTTAATTATGCTCAGTTGCAATCGCATCAACATAAACAAACGATTATGAATAGAAAGGATAAAACATGTATATGAAAACTTTTTTCCAGTTTGTCATTTCATCTTTTCCCTATATATATATATAATATATATATATATATATATATATATATATATATATATATATATATATATATATATAATATAATAGATACTTGTAATCAAGGATATCTGTCTACTAGGACGGGTAGCCAACCCTATTGCAGATGCTCACCCAGGCACATTTGTGTTTGCTCAACATCCACAGAACCCACCTGTGGTTCATACTGCAACTATGTTGAGCAGACCTTAGTTATAGTTATTGGAAGAAATTTACAATTTGAACAAGGCCAGCATAATCAAGCCCTCATCCACGTTGACATGTGGCTTTGTGCTAGCACAGCTATTGACAAACCTCAAGAGTTCCATCTACCCTATTTCCCTACGAATGTTTGAGTCAACCCATGGAATGGTTTTCAGGCACTTTCCAAAGGTGCCACACACTGGGATCGACCTCAATCCATTCCGATAACATCGTTCATTAATTACTTGATCTTGTAAAAAAAAAAAAAACATAAAAAAAAAACATAAAAAAAAAGGAAATAAACACATCTCCAAAAAGATGTCATACAAAATGTAATAATGCCTTTTAAGAGCACCTATCTATTAGGAAAAATAAAAACGAGAATCAAATTTTGTTAAAGTAGAAAGAGACTTACGAAACAGGTATAAATACGATGGTTATATCGTATTTAATAACAAATCAACCTTCCACTGCCAAATGCACTGTTAGTCCATTATACCTGAAAAAGAAAGAAAAATTCACTGAATAAGGTGACACAGTTCAAGCATGTGCTTTAGACGAGGCAACCTAAGTTGCAGTGTGCGTTGCTTTTTATATGTTAAATATGCACTTTCTGTTCCAAACAAATTGGATGACCAAAAGGCAAATTTTGTAAAATGGAAATACTACAACAGAGATATATTAGGTACACACACATTTATATATATATATATATGTATGCACACATATATATATATATATATATATATATATATGTCTGTCTGTCCATACACACATATATATATATATATATATTTCACACACATATATATATATATATATATATATATATATATATATATATATGTATGTATATGTGTGTGTGCAGACAGACATATATATTTATCTCAGTGGACACTGAGTGATGACAGTCTGTTTCATGCTTGAATGCAATCTTCAAAATGTTGACACATGGTGTTGACCTCAGTGTCCACTTTTATATTTACGTATGCTCTATACCTGATATTGTGCACTTTTACAATAAATACAGCATACCTTCAAACTATATTTTTATTATATATATATATATATATATATATCTCAGAAAATGATTACCAATTTATTTGGGTCAGTATTTTATAACAAGAGACAAGAAATGAAAAATAATAGAGAGAAAGAGAGAACTTGAATATGATGAGAGAGAGTAGCCTGTTAAATAGGCAGAGAGGGCTGTTTGATATGAAGAAAGAGAGAGTAGCCTGTTAAATAGGAGAGAGGCATTTGATATGAAGAAAGATATATAGCCTGTTAAATAGGCAGAGAGGGCTATTTGATATGAAGAAATAGAAAGTAGCCTGTTAACTAGGCAGAGGGGGCTGTTTGATATGAAGAAAAGAGTTTAGCCTGTTAAATAGGCAGAGAGGGCTGTTTGATATGAAGAAAAAGAGAGATAGCCTGTTAAATAGGCATGAGAGGGCTGTTTGATATGAAGAAAGAGAGAGTAGCCTGTTAAATAGGCAGAGAGGGCTGTTTGATATGAAGAAAGAGAGAGTAGCCTGTTAAATAGGCAGAGAGGGCTGTTTGATATGAAGAAAGAGAGAGTAGCCTGTTAAATAGGCAGAGAGGGCTGTTTGATATGAAGAAAAGAGATTGGCCTATTAAATAGGCAGAGAGGGCTGTTTGATATGAAGAAAGAGAGTAGCCTGTTAAATAGGCAGAGAGGGCTATTTGATATGAAGAAAGAGAATATTAGCCTGTTAAATAGGCAGAGAGGGCTGTTTGATATGAAGAAAGAGAGAGTTGCCTGTTAAATAGGCAGAGAGGGCTGTTTGATATGAAGAAAGAGAGAGTAGCCTGTTAAATATGAAGAAAGAGAGGGGAGCCTATTAAATATGAGAGAGAGAGAAGGGTGGGGCCTGTTAAATATGCTTTTTAAATAAGATACCACTTCAGAAAAAAAAGCAGTTCTTTGAATCATCTTTTTAGTAGGTGTGTTTAGTTTACTCTGAAGAAACCGTTACAGTACTTGCAACACTGTAGTTATTAGCATGTCAATATTGCATGCCACTGATAGTAAGATTTGTTCTTTCAGATGACTTGTAAAATATGGTCATATGTAGCAATTAAGTATAATTTCATTGTTGGTTGATTTTATGTCAACCCTTCTTGGGTTATTTAATGTTGAATTTTTTGTGGCGGCAAAATAATCATTTTAGAGTTGAAATGGCTTGATGTAAGTTCTATGTAAACAGTTTCTTCTATCACACTTATTAAACTCAGAGTCAACTTTGATCTTCAAAAATTTAAATCTACTGTCAATTGTTATCTTAATTCTTGTTCTTTTATTATTCCCTCTCCTTAATAGTATTTTTCTTTTTTTTATATACTCACAATAACACACTATATCTTAGTGGCTTTATTGCTTTCTTTGTGATTAAAAAAATGTATATGACATGACAAGTTGTAGCTGTAAAAGTCTAAACAGATGGAACTAAGGAATGTAACTCACTTGAACATTTGCCATGGAAATAGCAATAAAGAAGCAATAAGTTTGTAACATTCCTACTGTGGGGAAAGGGATTGCAGGATTGAAAAGATTTCATCATCCACAAATCTGCATAAACACTTTTGAACTCTATCAAGGACGGTGAAAGCATGTAAAGAAGCCCTAGCCCAAATATGGCAGCAAAAAAAAATCATTCTTTATTATGAGTTACTGGTGTTGGTTCCAATACTGAAGAAATGACTGCTAAAAACATCCATCTCCCCAAATTTATACATAAATCCTACAGATGCATGCTGGGATTTCTTCCTAACCAATAAAAATAAACCACGTCTTAATCATATCTGCCATATTTTTTTTCTTGCCTGCGTCCCTTTTGTTTGTGAACACAATTCTTACTTTGTAAACTTTTTGCCTTATTACTGTTGCCTTGGCTATTTTTGACTTGCATATATATTGTTTGCTTAGCATTATTTTGCCCGGTTCTTTTCTTCCTTTTTTTATTGTTTATTAAGAAATTTGTCAATTACATTTGCTGAGAATTTTGCCAATTCCACTTAACCATTGACAATTACTCCATAGTTAGAATCTGGACAATCTGTTACAACCCAATGCTAGAATCAGAAACAAGTTTGTTTGATCAGAAAATAACTTCTTCAGGATCAGCAAGTCAAATGGAGAGACATGGTTGCAAGACAATACATATTCTTTAATCCATCAGACCAGGCTCATATTTGATAACCATGCACTGTCAGTTGGGGTCAAGATTATGCCAACAGAAAGTATATGGCTTCCTACACAGAGGTCACCTGTTTACTGTACATTTGTCTACCTGATATTCTTGCAAACTAAAGCTTTGCCTACCTTTCTATTTATAAAAATTACAGACTTTACTAATGAATAATCTAGAAAAGGTTGATATGTTATAAACCAATTTGATGAATGAATCACAATGCTATAAATTTATATAAGAATTATTTTAAAAAAAAAAAACAGTTTCTGTAATTTTTACAGCATTTTTTGTGTGTGTGTGTGTGTGGAGTGGAGTGGAGAACAAAAAAGTATGTTTATTTCTATCTGAATTTCTGGCATGAAAGATTATCATTACTTCAACTTTGACTGTTATTCTCATCTTTGTTGCTATTATCACCTGATTGCCTTCAGTCTGAATTTCTGGGATGTGGAGTTATCATTATTTACACTATTTATATTCGGACTATTGTCCTCATCTTTGTTGTTGTCATCACCCGATTGCCTTCAGTCTGAATTTCTGGGATAAGGAGTTATCATTATTTACACTATTTATATTCGGGCTATTGTCCTCATCTTTGTTGTTGTTATCACCCGATTGCCTTCAGTCTGAATTTCTGGGATGTGGAGTTATCATTATTTACACTATTTATATTCGGACTATTGTCCTCATCTTTGTTGTTGTTATCACCTGATTGCCTTCAGTCTGAATTTTGGGATGTGGAGTTATCATTATTTACACTATTTATATTCGGGCTATTGTCCTCATCTTTGTTGTTGTTATCACCCGATTGCCTTCAGTCTGAATTTCTGGGATGTGGAGTTATCATTATTTACACTATTTATATTCGGACTATTGTCCTCATCTTTGTTGTTGTTATCACCCGATTGCCTTCAGTCTGAATTTCTAGGATGTGGAGTTATCATTATTTACACTATTTATATTCGGACTATTGTCCTCATCTTTGTTGTTGTTATCACCCGATTGCCTTCAGTCTGAATTTCTGGGATAAGGAGTTATCATTATTTACACTATTTATATTCGGACTATTGTCCTCATCTTTGTTGTTGTTATCACCCGATTGCCTTCAGTCTGAATTTCTGGGATGTGGAGTTATCATTATTTACACTATTTATATTCAGAATATTGTACTCATCTTTGTTGTTGTTATCACCTGATTGCCTTCAGTCTGAATTTCTGGGATGTGGAGTTATCATTATTTACACTATTTATATTCAGACTATTGTCCTCATCTTTGTTGTTGTTATCACTTTGATTGCCTTCAGTCTGAATTTCTAGGATGTGGAGTTATCATTATTTACACTATTTATATTCAGACTATTGTCCTCATCTTTGTTGTTGTTATCACCCGATTGCCTTCAGTCTGAATTTCTGGGATAAGGAGTTATCATTATTTACTCTCTATTGTAATCATAATATTGTAATCATAACGACAAAGATGAGAACTATTGTCCTCATCTTTGTTGTTATGATTACAATATTTTGACCATTGTACCCTGCAGCCTTCATCAGGTGCTTGTCAATCTGGATAATCTTCAGGAAAATTTAATCTATAGGGGTAGACTGATCAATGTCTAGATAAACAGGGCAAGCAACAACTGAGGACTAATAAATAAAAACTAAATTATATTTCCATAGACATGGTCAGCAGAATGAGAACAATCTACCTATGTAGATTAAATAAAGTGGTTCACTTCAAAATTCTTCAAAGGCTAAACAACAATTAAGAGGATAATCATATGTTTTCTTATTTTTAAAACTCGAATATTTTGCCCATTAACGACTGATATTTAAAACAATCATAACTCATGGATCATTTTATATGATATGTTTTTTTTTTCTTTTCTTTTTTGAGGTTTTCCTTTGATTTTTTTTTTTTAATGCTGTGTCACATTGTCTAAAAGAATATTTCTTGTTACATTAACTGCAGACATAGCTTAATTCTTAATATATAAAAAAAAATGAAGATAGCAATAGAATGTATGTATCTGGAAATGAAAAACTTCTGCTTATATATCCAAGAATGGCACTGGCTGAATCAGGGAGAGAGAAAGAAAAGTAAAATTTTCATGAACCAGTGTATGGTAATGGTGAGGGTAAGATTAGCTATTTCCTTGTAAAGAAACATTCGGCAGTCATTGACCAAACAGCATTACTGTCATTTAAAATTCTTTAGCCCAAAGCAGTTTTTTTGATTTTCTTTTTCTTTGAAATTCTTTATCCTAAAGGACCATTTTCTGAAAAATAAGCTTCTTTTATCAATCTTTGTTGGGTGCTTCCTTCCTAACTTTTGTTTAAAGTAATGTGGAATGTCAACATCTTGATTATACCTTTATTTTCTTTTAGAACAATATGTGTTACCCATTTTAGTTGTTGCTTAAGAAGTTTTCAAGTGATTTGGATTTTGTTATTTGGTCAAGTTCTTTGTTTGTGGTTCTGAAGAATCAGTTCTTTAGATCTAATGAAAGATTGTCTTCTTTAAGGCTTCATTTGCTTGAAGCTATTTTTAACCATTGATTTAAAAGAAAATTAAACAAAAAACAGTTTAGATATTTCTGAACGAGTTGGATGCCATTCATAACATCCATGAGAATAAAGATCTGATGCGGTTATTTAAGAGCATGACAATGAGTTTTCAGGTTGATATTTTAGTCTTGTAACAAATGTTGGAGCAAAGTACACCTAGTACAACTAATCTTGTGTTTAATTTCCTCCTCTCTTCTACTAAACTTGTAACTGATCCATACATTGAGGTATTGGAAATGTTTAGTATTTATTGATTCCACATAATGAAGTTTTATGATGGATTCATGATATGTGTTATCACTGCTTTTATTCCATTTTCAGATCATATGTAAAAAATATAGGTTATCTCCTCTTGGTTGATAACACCTGCTGATAGAAAGATGAGTCCATTTATCTGATAATAGTGGGTAAAACTTAAAATTAGGTGCCAAATGGAATTTAGGCATCAAAGCTGAGGCCAGGATGACCATAAATGGGACAGACATATTTTAGCCTACTCAAAGAACAGGTGATGCTGGCCATGAACAAACCTGAAGGACAAGCAGCTATCAACAGAAGGATAAGAGCAGCATCAGATAAGTGTTTCAATCAATTTCAAACAGACACATGTATTTGGATATTATCTCTGATGCCATGTCTTTTAACTGTTAAAAGAATACGTTTTTAGCAAGTATATATTCTCATTGTATAATGTATTTCTTATATAAAGTATGTATTTTAAACTCTTCAGTTACCTTATCATTGTTAATCAGCCATGACTCACTTTGGGGAGTTGCTAAATTTCCCACACATAGTTTTTGTTTTGGAAAGGTTTATGTTAAGTCCTACTTCTTAGAACACTTGGAAAAGAATGTTGAAGTGATTGCATATTCTTCTCTCAGCCATGTCCTGTCAGGACGTGAACGATCATGGCTCTTCACAATTTCCTGTCATTTTTAGCCTTTAGTAAAATTTGTCTTTTGATATTGCTTCTAATCCCTGTTCTGCCGACCATTTACACAAAGTCATAAATAGGTTACACACTTCTTTCCTCTGTCTCTCCTCCTTTCATATGTCTTGTAAGTAACAAATTTTCCAAGCTCTCTTTTCTCATTATGTGACCTGGAAATTTCAACTCTTTATTTTCATTTTCTATAAAACTGTTGTTGTTGTTAATGTGTTCAGTCCATTGTATTCTCAGCATCCTTCTGCAGAATCAAATTTCTGCTGCCTCAAGTTTCTTCTCCATCTGTGATCAGATGGTCCAGCATTCACTGCTATATAGAAGAACTGATATTATATGACTCTTGATTTCTTATGCGCCACAGATATATATTTGGCATGTGAAAAATTTCAAATGTTCTTTTTAAGAGGAGAAGACAAACCAGGAATTATTATTACTAGATGTAGCTTTAACAATATGTGTCATGCAGGTAGCACTGTGTTGATGACAGTTTCAGAAGAAAACTTCTAGAAATATTAGTCAAGATAACTTAGGAAAGAAAGAATAAAAGATTAAGTATTAACTATTAGAGGAAAGACTTCATGGTTGACAGCAAAAGGAACAGACTTAAGCACCAGTTATGTACCACAGGGTGGAAATCTAACTATTCTAGGTAGTAGTAGTAGTAGTAGTATAACAGACAAGAAAATGTGTGATATAGAAATCTGAAGAACATTGGAATAATACAATATGCCTTTCAGAAACTGGGTAAAGTATTAAGTCATAGGAAAATGTCATGGGAAACAGAAAACAATACTGGACTGCAATGTAATATCTAATTTCTCGTATGCAAGTTAATGTTGGAAAATTTCCTCAAAAAGGTGCGGTGTCTTGAAGTGACAGAGATGTGGTTCTAGTGAAAGATGCTAAAAATACAAGAGACTGAACATGTGACAAACAAGGAAGTTTTAAGAATAGAAACTGTTGTTAACAATCAGAAAGACATGGCTAAAGATTTTTGAAGACATAATGAAGCAAGAAAACTTGAAGAATTTAACCATCACAGGTTAAAAGCTTAGCAGAACGAGCATTGGAAAGAAAAAGAGGATGGGAACAATGTAAGAATTACGTCAAGTAAAAGACAGAAAGTTGTGCAGAACCATGATTATCCAAGTTCTGAAAGGACAAGGGATATTTTAGAAGATCACTGAATAGATAAGTGAAAACTGTTTTTTTTTCTCAGAATACAAACCTATTTCACACACAAAGCCAAGTGTCAGACTAATGTAGATAACTGTCTATATTTCTGAGATGATGTATTATGTACATTATTTACATTATTCTGACTATTGTTCTCAAGGACACATGGCACAGTGGATAAAGGTGTTGGTTAGATCCAGTGACAGGACCCAAAGAGTGTGAGTTCAATACCTAGTTAAGGCAGTAGAGAACTTTCAGAGGGAAATTAACAGGAGATAACTGACATCCGTTAAAACATGGCACGTGGAACTAGAACGGTCTATCCCAGTTAGCGAAATAAAGGGTTAAGTTTGACATTCCAACCACCTGAAGAAGGCCAGAGCATACAACAGCCGAAACATTGT